GGCATTTTTGCATGTAAAAAAGAAACCAAATAGATTGACTCAGTGATAATATGAGCTAAGTGAGCCATAAGGACAGGCGGAGCAATGTATCTGAGAAAGAAAAATATACACAAGCAAGAGCCCTAGCTCCCCGCCATCTTTAAGCACTTATCTCCCCTCCCCCAAAAGCAATAAATTAGAGTAATATAATTCTGTTTACAACAGAGTCACTGATAGCTAATATCACAAAACTTCTCAGAATAAACTCCTTCGGGTTAGACTGAAGCAATTACACATTTTTGCTGGTGTTGAAGGCAACACACTAGAACTCTCCCTTGAAAGTTCAATGTGATTACGGCAAACAGAAAAGACACCATAGACTCCTGTCTTCTCAACCCAAGACTTAGAGTAAGCGACTTTACACAGGACTTTTAATTTGAAAATATTACTGGATTCTAAAGGAGGAAGTTGTCCAGCTTCATCCATATAAGATTACTAAGGTACGATGCTAAGCAGGTAAACACTAATGTCTTAACAACTTCAGACAACTCTGGATGACACAGCCAGCACTGAATTAAAACATAACTGGTGTACTTCAACTTGTTCTTGTACTCGTGTGAACTGCCACTGAAATTCAACGGCCTGTGAATCTATTCGATATCAACAGAAGACCGGCAAAAAATATCCCTGATAATCAACAATAATTCAAATACTACATCCAAATCCTCTCGGATTCTATCTCCTTTATGGTGAAGTTTCAATTCAACAAATATGCATTAAGTGATATGTAAAGAACCAAAAACTGGGTGAGATGCTGGGGAAACAATGTGCACGAGCCTTTGGGAAGGCTGCACTCTTCCAGAGGAAAGAAAAACCAATGGTCACAACAGAGTATGGTACTATGATATCAAAAGTATGTGCACCCTCATAAATAAATACGAAAAACATCTCAAATTTGACATAAAAGGCAACTCACAAAAGCATACAAAGGATCAAGAGACCAAACCACTGTTTGCCTATCAGATCAGTATATATTAAAAAGCTAATAATATCCATTGTTGGTTGGAGGTGTGGGGAAATGGACACTCACTTATGCTGTTAGTGGGTTACATTTCTGTAGAATGATTTGAAAAGATGGTTGTTTAAAACCCTTTAAAACTTCATATTCTTTGACCGAGAAATACCACTGGTTTTGGTAAATGAGTAGTTTCACTAAGCAAAGGAAAAAATATAAGAAATAAATTCAACTTAGGAAAATGGTAACTTTGATTTGATAGGATAAATTTCCAATTCCTACGAGACATTCAGGGAGAATTGTCTAGCAGGCATTTGGACATAAAGTAACTAGCATGTACCCAGGATATATGCTAGTCTTAAAGACATTATTTCATTTAATCCCTCCACAACTCAAAGGGCTATGGACCCAGTGGCAGGAGCAGGATTCTCACACAGCTCATAACCCAAAGGTCTTAATCGATATGCTATTCAGCCTCTATAGGTTTGTCACCTGACAGAAAGATTCAAGGTAGAAATACAGATTTGTAAGTTTATCTTTCTTTCACACATTTACTCAGCATTTATTGCCTACCTAATGTTGGACCTAAGAATACCAGGGAAACAAAGTTACATCCCCTATCCTTAGGGAACAACAGAAACAGACATGAAGACAAAAATTTGCAATATGTATGACAGTACTAATTGAAATAGTTAAGAGGAATAATACTAACCCAAAAGAAGCAGAGAGTAGTCAATTCTGCATTAGAGGAAGAGTCATCGAGGAAGGTTCTAAGAAAGGAAGACAATGCTTGACCATGATTTTGAAGGATGAGTTAAAAAAAAAAAACAAAAAACAAGTAGACAGGGGAAGGAGGAAAGGAGGGCCACTCCAGAACAAGGGAGTGGCATATATGGAAGCACCAAGGCCCAAAACAGCATAGTCAGTTCAAAGAAATGCATGAGGTCACCACACTGCTTACACCCCGTGCCCTTCAACCATTCCAGTCTCTATCTCCTACCCCACCATTTCTCCAGATGCTAAACACGACAAAGCAGATACAAAGTTTTCTGCTCTCTTGAGTCCCATTTCTGAAAGAGAAGACCTACTCTTCCAACCTCCCCTCCCAACAGAGAATGGGGAAGGGACAGCAGAGCCTGCCTGCCAGTCAGGAGGAGCAGTGACATAGTAACCAGCCTATCAAAAACAGATTCCCAACAGCATCACTATCACCCACCCTCCTCTTTTTTCTTGGTTGCATTTATTACTACCTGAAATTACATTGTCTACTCATTCTTTCCTTTGTTTATTGCCTGTCTCCCTCATTAGCATATAAGGTCCAAGAGGCCACTGGCCTTGTCTGTTTTATTCACCACTATATCTTCAACAGTACCTGGACAGGGAAGACACTGTAAATATCTGCTGAATGAATGAATATTGTGATCTTATCCAACATGTAGCAGATCACTTTTAAAATTAAAACAGATCAAGATAACATTTCACTTTTATAAAATATTTAATATTTTCCTTAATATTTAATAGGATTCTTCAAGCTCTCCCAAAATTTTCTAATGCTCTAAATAGCATCCCTAAGCTCCCCCTTTTTTTTTTCACTGCAGCAAATGTTTGAATCAAAGCATGTCTTTTAACACCTAAAGAGTGTAACTGCTCTATTCCCACACAGGTATTTCATTATAGTATCTCTGGACCAAAGAGAACAAGCTAGCAACTACTGGTAAAATGTTACACCAATTACAAATTGATGTTTTGTTTCAATGAAACATGCTTAAGGAAATATGAAAGGAAGCTATTCCATGCTTAAGGAAGAAGTCCAAGTCCTGCTAACAAAATAAAAATATCTAACGTAGGAAGAAAAATGTGCCTAAGGTTATTAGAAAACAGGTAACACATGATATGTGTAAAAAGGTCATCAATTTTCAGAAATTAGTATCACTGATGATGGCTAACTCATAGAGATCAGGCCTTGCCAAAACTGCCTGTTATATAAAAGGTCTCGGAAGGCAGTATCTTTTGGAATCTGTTTATCCAACTGGCCATTTCACTTTAGGGTTCTTTTGAGCCACCTACCACTATTTTCATAATCACAGGTTTCAAGCTCCTTGTCACAGATGGGATGGTCTTTCTCCAACATTTTAGGCTTAAGAAAGAGAGAGAGAACTGATACCATAAGGTTAGCAATGCCATTATTAGCCTAATTAAAGGTTTTGACACAACAGTAGATCAGAACTCAAGAAGCAGCTTCTCAAGTCCAAATATTGTGAAAAAATTTACTGTTACTATGAATCTATTTCAAGACTAATAAAAGTTCAAGTAAGACCTGAAGGTTGCCTTGTCAAATCCATTTCTCAATATAAATGCCTTGTAAAATTACACAATGAATCTACTCGAACGCTTTCTATATGAGAGTTACCAAAAAGAAGCCTCGAAACCCTTCTAGGGACACATTTATTTTCCACAGCCAAGTCTTAACACCAGTAAATGGAGGATTTCCATGTAATCCCTAAAAGCTGATAGGCAGAAATTACCAACCATGCTATGACTTTTTAACTAAGCATTTTATTCAATCACCTTTGTATAATAGGGCAATTGAAAGGGTACAATCTTTTTAAATATGAGATGCAAAACATTGTCCCTGATATTTCCAAGCAAACTTTGTAGGACTGTATAGTCAAACAAATGTTCTGGGTTTTTGTTGGTTTGTTTTCAAAGTAGTCACTACAAGTGACTAAATAAACACCTGTTTAAGCAATCCTGCCATTTCTCAAAAATATTTTGTACCATATATCTAAGAACTTTTTCAAAGTCAGTTTATAAGCTATGTCCTTTCTATGTACAAATGGATACTATACTAAAAAAAAGTCCACTTGCTGCTAGGTTACAAACACTACACTGAATCAGCTAACTGGTAAGATTCTTCTCGTGGGTATGAGCTGCTCTCCAGTGGCCCAACAAGCCAGAACTGCACTCTCCTTCCCGGATGAAGGGGATCTATTTCTTTGATAAATATTCTTTAGAAAAAATAAATCAAGATTTAATCAAAGACAGAATGTATATTATTGCAAACCATAACAGCAGTTTGTGGTGATTTGTATTACCGTGGTATCAGTATCATGAATTAAAAAGGTAAGTTCCCTTTAGAAACATGGATCTCTTTGCCCAACAGTTGTACTCTAAAAATAAAACCAACGTTTCTTTGCATACAAACAAAATGAAGGCGGCAAAATGCAAGTCTCAACTGATCAAAGAAAAGGGAAATGGCCGTACAATCAATAAGGAAATGCGTCTCATATAATTAGCAGTTAATGTTTATGATGAGTTTCATCAAGTGAAATTAATAGGACCACTTAAGAAAAATGAAAAAGCTGGAATCAAAAAACTGTGTACAGGAGTCAAAGATTCAAATATTCTAAACTTGTTTTCACCAGCTGGTAATATTCTAGTCTGCCAAATAGTAGGCCAGATGGCTGATGTCACGTAACCGCCTCTAACAACTTCACTGATAAATCAGGAAGAAGCAGTTTACAAATCAATCTACGCTTCTAGGCTCAGCACAGTTTGACTACCTCTAAATGCACCCCCTTTTAATTTTTTATTGTACAACTCATAAGAAATAAGCAAAACTAAGAAAATAACATCATTCATAAGCCTACCAGCCAAACATAAATAACCACTATTAACATTTTGATCTATTAAAATGGTCACCTGCTAAAGCTTCTTTTCTTTAAGATAACCTCCTTCTTTATTGCCCCTCATCCTTCTGCTTACTTCCCTCCTAAACATTTCAGGATTGCATTATCTGGATAACCATTACACCCTCACCCAGAAAACACCTCTCTGAAGGAGCTGGGCACAGGGGCACTCTAGGACAGCATCCCTTTTGCGCTCTGGCAGGAAGCACACCACACCTGCCCGCGCAGGCCCTGCCCGCCTGCTGCTGGCCCGGGGCACTGGGATTACCAGGGAAGCCGTTCCCAGTGTGCAACGCCTCCTGCAAACCATCACTTACTGTGCCGGGCATATGACCTCTCTCGTTCTTCCCATTCTGAGAGCCGCCATTCTTGAGTTTCTTTTTCTTTTTGGCTGTTTCTTTGTGCTCTTTCTGTTTGTTTTGCACTTCAATGAGAACAGAAATAAAGCTGTTTTTCACTTCCTTTTCAAACTCCAGTTCATCTCGCAGGGCCAACTGCTGCACCAGCTCCTCAGAGTATTCCTTGATGGCGGTCTCAATTTCTTCCAGTAGTTCATTTAATTCAGATACTGAGAGCCTTTTCACTCCTATGACGAAAACCAAGCATAGCAGATACTAAGACAAAAATGTCTCAAGGGAACACAACTGGGTATTTTATGCCAAAGAGCAAAAATCATATGCTAAGCAATTAAATTGTTCATCATCTTCTCAGAATCCTAAACCTTCTGGTAGGCAGGTCTGAGTAGAGGCAGGTGGACAAAGGTACTTCTCAAATAGCTGAGAAGTATAAAAAAATTGTTTACCTGTCTAACTCAATCCCAAGAATAGTACCTCAGGCAAAACTGAAAAAGCTTGTACAAGGAAAAGAACAAACACAAAGCAGTGGGAGAGTACAGAAACCAGCTGCTGACAAGAAATCACAAGCAACTTAGCAGAGCGCGGGCACACTCCTGAAGAGAAGTCAACTTTAAAGAATTAAACTAAATGCATATTTAATCACATAAACCCCAATGTGTGAATTTTACTGAAGATTGGGAAGATGAAAGGGAAGAATATTCCCTGAAACTCCATTTCAGTTTTTACTCAGCACTTCCCCTTACGTGAGAGACAGGACATTTTTGATGTCTAACCCCCAGTGCCTCAGAATGTGACTATATTTGGAGACGGTCTTTACAGAGATAATTAAGTTAAAATGAGGTCATTAAGGTGTGCCCTAATCCAATGTGACTGACGACCTTATAGAAGATCAGAACACAGATACACACAGAAGAAAGTCCGCGTGAGGACAGAGAGAAGACGGCCGTCTGCAAGCCAAGAAGAAAGGCCTCAGAAGAAGTCAAATTTGCTGACACCTTGATCTTGGACTTCCAGACTCCAGAACTGTGAGGAAACAAATTTCAGCTGTTTAAGCCCCCCAGCCTGGGCACTTTGCTACAGCAACCCAAGCTGACTAATACAGGATTCAAAGGGGAATATGGCACAGTCCCCCAGCAACAATAAAACGTGCGCTTAGTATTATCAGAGGGCCAGGGAAGGATACGTAGCAAAGATTTCTGGGGATGGTCACTATATGTTTGAGATATACAAAAAGCACAAAGAGCACTGATTTAAGTAGGGTTTCTTACTCTCTTCATAACTGCTTGTACTAGACCTCTTAAGAGTTTGAATTTCCTGGGAAAGCATCGAGAGCCGATCTGACTGTGTGGGCGTTTCATCATCTTCTGGGTCCGGTGATTCCTGCATCATTTCTTCGATTTCTTCAATAACCTTCCAAAATATACACACCACTGTTAATCAAACATACACAGGAAACATGATCCCACTGAAGCACAGCGCTCACCTGAAGCAACAAAAGTAGAAGGACACTCAAGTTTCCATTAACCAACAGTGTGCAGGAATTGGTGTTTGAATAATCAAAATTTTGATTGTAAGAGTGAACATGGTTTATCCAGAAAAATTTACAATATACCAAACACAAAACAAAATAGAATATGATTTAATATGTCCATCATGATTCAGGAGGCCCTATCGGATCTTGCAATGTCTGAGAAATGGTGCTACAAACACATGTTTAATTGACTTTAGACATGCAAGTACCAGATCATAGTTACAGTTAAAAGAAAGCAAATGACAGAAAATTGACCATATACCACATGCAAGTGCTCAGTTTAAAGCCATTTAATCAAAATGACATAAAATTTATAAAATACAACAGTATAAAAAAACTTAAAGAGAAAGTAAGAAATTACCTCTATGGCAGCAATATTTTCCTTTAACAGCAGAAAAAGAATTTCATATATTAATTCAACAAAAGAAAAAAGGATATTTAAAAATTACTTAAAATGTAGAAGCTTAAAAGAGAAAAAAAAAAGCTGCACAAAAGCAGGAAAGTTTCAGAAACATATTTGCCTTTTAAACAACGATCTACTGTCATATGCAATGTTGCTCAAATCTTACAACAGTGTCTTGTCCTGTTACAGATTCCAAAAGTTGAGAAGTAGATAGAACTCAGCAAAAATTTTAAAGAAAGCCAGAAAAATTACTCAACGGTTAGAAAAAACAGACCTAAGAGTTTTTTAAAAAAACTATCAGAAAAAATACAATAACAAGAATCAGCAAGCTTAACATATAACACTTATATGGAGGAAAAATAAAAATAAACCTGAACGAGATGGGGATTATGTTAATTAGTACAATTTTCCAAAATAGGCATTGTAAAATGAGACACTGAAGAAGGCTACAGAATCCATTTCTCTAAGTCTTAAAAACAGAGACAGCTTATGGTTTTCAGGCAGATTGCTGGGGAGACAATGATTTCTTGGGGTCACGTCTTTTTATCTTCAAGCCCTCTAACCTACTATCTTGCTTTTTAAGCACCGCTCTTTCCGTGCCTACAAGAATCCAACCACAAACATGACTAAGGAGCATCAAAATGCCACATTTTTAATGTACTCCTCCTGACCTTGCCATAATATATCTCTTTACTGGCCTTGTCCTTCCAGCCTAAAAATATAGTGTGATAGAATTCACGGTCTGAGTAGCCACAGAACATTTTATTTCAGGAAGAAGTTCTTGCATCACATTTTGACAATACAACAGAAGTGGGAAGAGTATTCAGAAAATGAGAAAGCTGATTCAACTGGTTTTAAGTGAATACAGGGTTGGCATTATTAGAGCATTCCATAGGAATAATGCTCACTTCTTTCTAGGGTACACAATATGTGGTTCTAATAAGTGCTACTGACTTTTACATAGGCTTCAGAGAAACCAGATAATTTCTGCACAGATACATTATAGTTTGCACATGGCTGGCTAAATCCAAAGAAAGAAAAAAAAACCACAATATTTTTTCGGATTTCAGAGTAAGCAATAACCCTCCCTTAGTAACTTGCTGTCCTGTTTTAACAATGCTTATTTTGGAAAACTACCTATATTGGAAAATCTTCCCAACTACCATAATCCCATCTGCTTCAGATTACAAATGCTTTCTTCTTTTCTCAGTGGAGGAGTAACTATTAGCTTATATAACCAGAAAATACAGGAAAAGTCAGTAAATTTCAATAACCCATCACTTATTGCCAAAATAGGAAATCATTTTTCAGCTCGAGGTTCCCCTTTCCTTTCGTTGCTGAATTTCTCTGTCATACCTGATCCGCAGTGAAGAGGGGCTCATCATCCACGCAGGAGACGATGATGGAATGCATATCCAGCTGTTCCCTCAGCTCCTCATCGTCTGATGTATCAAACAGCAAACTGTCACTTATCTAAAAACAAAAATACCCGCTGTTAGAAGCAGGACATTCTGATCAAAACAACGTTGAAGTGTCCAGGTAAAGAAGACTGCAGAGGTAAAGAAGTCATCTGCCGAGAATTTCCCTCCAAAGGGAGAAATCATCACAACTGCCCTGTTCTAGGCAGCGTGTGAAGTGCTTTACATATTCATCTCAAACAAAAATGAGAGGAAGAATAAATATGAACTTGCTGAGGTGCTGCAGGCAGCACCTATTGCCCGATACAGATACACACTTAGCTGCTGTTTCTATGGGGAAAGAGCGCTGTAAAAGCTGACTGATAAATATTAAAATATATGGCATTTGCTCAAAGCGGTAGGGAATTTTAGCAAATAGAGAGCGGAGATGGGCAGAGTTGGCAGCAAATATTATTTAGTTAACAATCTAATAGTAAGATTGGCATATGTTAAAATTCCAGAGAAAACATAAAAGTTAGTTACTTGCAAACTAACTTCTAACATTCAGAGTGAAAGTAATGAACTCCCTGGCACACAGGAAACGTCCATGACAGTCACACATAGCCCTTCCAGTTGAACATCTCTTCTTCTGAAAAGAGAAGATCTCTGGGTTCCAAACACATCTTTAAACCTAACTGTGCTGGAGATTTCCCATTTGCCTCACCTCCATTTTTCCCCCCTGCTCTGTGCCCCAGGAGGCTGACCTCTGTGGACTACATCAAAGGATGCCTTTGACTCCTGGCTTCCAGCTGGGTTAAACACCACTGGTAGGGACTAGCAGGAGACTGGAAGGTGGGAGGATGAGGACCGGGCACTTATTCTGCTGTCTCCTCCCTGCCAGCCCGCCAAAGGCTACAGCTCCTGCCAAGAAGACCTCTCCCCGACAGCTACTCTCTCCTGGTTCTGCTAACTTCTCCCTCTCCTTACCTCTTCATGCCCAGGGGTGCGAGTACGGCTTGCTGTTGCCAGCCCTGGGGTATCACACCATGCCTCGCTGGGTGTCCTTTAACCCTGCCCACATCCATAGACACAGTCCCTTTAATAATGACTTAGAGTTAGGGACTAGTACTAATTATAAAAGCCTTATCTAGAAAACTCAGCAGATTAAAATGGACAAGTGATCATCAATCTATCATCCATCTAATGTGACATGACACGTTCATGTGACATGTTCAGATGATGAACAGAACTGAAATTAGAACACTGCTCTTCAGGAAGGAGGGGCACACAGTGAGTTCCCAAAGAACAAATGGGCAAAAAGGAAGCAGGTAAAAGCAACTGTGTACTTCTATTAGACAGAATATAATTTAAAAAATAATATTTCACCTGGGAAAATTATTCTATCAATGCAGAGGATATATATAAAACTGAGGATACACTTGAGTATTGTAGGTCCCTATTGCCAACCTAGCTCCTCATACAGGAACATCCGAAGTTTAATGGTGAACACAGCCCACAGAATGAAAACCTGCAGGGGAGAAGTGCGGAGGAACCACTGGCGTGTTCCCTTTCCTCACATTAGGCTGGGAGAGCAGCCACATCAGCACTCTAGGGTCTACCTGCTACCACATAATGCAACTCCATGTTGCGCCACAGGAATGACACAGCTCCTCATGCTAGTTCTCACTGCACCATTAGCCTAGGAAAGGCCTGGCCGTGGCCTTCAGCATGGCATCATGAAATTCCAGAAGACTGAGAAAAAAAGAACCTAAAAGCTTCCAGAGAGAAAAAACCATCACATTAAAAGGATCAGGAATCAAAATGTCATCTGAACCCTCTCAGAGATCAACAATAGAAGCTAGAAAACAATCACTGTAATTTTCGTGTTTCGATAAATTCCACCATAGAATCCTACATCCAGCTAAACTCACAATTAGAGGGAAGCTTAGAATAAAGACATTTTCAGACATTCAAGTTCTCCAAGTATTTACCTCTCATGCACCCTTTCTCAGAAAGCTACTGTAGAATATGCTCCATTAAAACCAGGAGGAAAACCAAAAAGGAAGTAGATGTGCGATCTAACACAAAAAAGAGGGGAAGGGAATTGTTGTAATGACAGTAAAGTGAAGATCCCAGAATGATGGCTGTGAGGCTAAACTAGAGTAACCAGTTCAGACTAGAATTGTTACTGACTGCAGAGGAAATCAAGAAAAGCATGAGAGAGACTAAGAGATTATCTAGTGTATTTCACTTACTAAAATGAGTTTTATAGCTCTACTGAGGCTGAATCAGTGAGTTAATGATAACCTAAATAAACCACAAAGAAACGGTTATTATTGCCCTAAGAAAAAACAAAAAATTACATGAGGAAGTTTAATCATAATGTACTAAAACGGGTCAACTGTGAACATTTGGTCAATATAAATGATGAAGCTTAATCAAATATTTTGACATAATTATATTGAGAAGATGGGGAAAGGAAAGTTTCTTGAGGGTTAGTGTTGGGAGTTGGAGGGAGCGCTATGAGAGAGCTAAACCCCCATCCTCGGGGTAGAAAGCAAATGGATAAAGTCTAACATTAAAAAAATAAAATCAAGGGGCTGGCCCCGTGGCCGAGTGATTAAGTTCGCGCGCTCCGCTGCAGGCGGCCCAGTGTTTCGTTCGTTCGAATCCTGGGCGCGGACATGGCACTGCTCATCAGACCACGCTGAGGCAGAGTCCCACATGCCATAACTAGAAGGACCCACAACGAAATATACAACTATGTACCGGGGGGCTTTGGGGAGAAAAAGGAGAAAAACAAAATCTTAAAAAAAAATAAATAATAAAATAAAATAAAATCAAGTAAAATGATATGAGCATGTCATTTGTTAGAAGAAACAGTTGAAGTACTCGAAAGTGGCTGCCTCTGATAAGTGGAAATCAAGGATGGGGTAAGTAGGGCAGAGGCTGCTTTTTCACGTGAAGTCCTATAGTTCTAGTCTACTTTTTAAACTATGACAGTTATCCTTTTAATAAGAAAGGAGAAAGGTCAACACATTAGGCTGTTGATAAGAGAGGATGTTGACTTCAAGATTGAGTGGAGATGCAAAGTGCCACAATATGATCCTAAGGGGGTATGGACGATGTGGAGTAACCAAACAATTACCTTCACTGATCTTTAAATTTCAACACCCCCAGAAACACTGCTCTATGTTGTAACTTGAGGACCATACTTTTATTTTTTCTCTTATAAACAAGCAAAAGTTTTAATTGTAAAATTACTCCTAAGGAAGACGTTATTATCTTCCTCCTGTTTCTACTCTTGAAGATATGAATGTGCATAAACTAAGTCCCTGTCCTTCAAGAAACGCTCATGGTGGGTGGATGAAGATGGCACCCGAGATGTTCCTAAGGTAAAACGATTTAGAAGCATTCTACCAAATAAGCATGATCAAGAAGGGCACTGGATTTAGAATAGGTTTACAGCTATTAACAAACGTGAGTGATACCACTAAACCATTAGAACAAATTTCCATAACAACAGAACTAATGATCCCAGATCATCTTTCCAGGGAAACAGCCAAGCCCATTCCCCACAGAGATGGCATATGCTAAGGGGTGGAATCTCTTTCGGCCTTTGAAAACTAACCTTGGCTGTCATGGGTATAATTATTCATTCTCCCATTCGGCATCAATGTGCCTCCTTGTTGCCAAGCATTCCCATCACTCCTTCCTGTGCCAGGGTTAGATATGGAGCTCGCGGTGTTGTTGCCCTGTATGAAACTGAAGCTGCCTCAAATGGAAAAAATGTACCTACGCAAGAATTTGGAATGTACAAGTTGTCTCACTCTAGAAAAGCCTCATCAAATTTAGAACTACGCCATTTTAAACATCAGTGAAAGAAAAATTAAGAACTGAAATCTAGCAAACTGTGGTTTTCCTGAATGTTTAGCAAAAGAAATTTCTTCTCCCTTTACCAAGAAAAAAATTTCCTATAGACCTTAGTTTACAATTGGGATAATCTAAAGAATGCTTCCAAAAGGTAAATTTTGCACAGTTCAGTTATAGGAATAGAGCACACAGCTGGCAATGATAAATAAAATAATTTTCCCAGGTAAAAGAAAATGTAATTACATGCTATCTAATAGAGTAACATGGCTGCTTCTTACAGACTTCCGTGTTGCCCTTTTGTTCTGCAGGTGCAACTCCTGCCTGAGGAACAGAGTTCTAATTTCCGCTGTATTCATCACCAGGGTCGTCACGTCAAGAGACAGATGACAGATGGATGATCACCTGTCCACTTTAACCTGCTGAGTTTTCCAAGTTGGGTTTTACAATGAGTAGTAGGACTAAACTCCCAGCCATTACTAGTCACTGCCCTTGGCTATACCATTACTCTGGAATTGAAAATACAAGATAGTATACGTTTAATTCAATGAAACTGGATGAGAGTGTCCCGATTGTGCTGCCAATGTACTTCCCTTTCGAACTATGAAAGGATCTCTTCTGTGCTATTTTTTAATATGTCAAACAAAAAATTACTCATTGACTGGCTATTGTGGATTCAGCACTATGATAAATAATACAGAAAATACTTCTTTAAAAAAAGAATTGTTCATCATGGTCTCTGATCTTATAGTCTCACTGGCGAGATCATTCATTCATTCATTCAACGAACACTTGTCTTAGTACTCAGTATGTACCAGGCAGAGTGGTAGTTACTAAAATGACAAATATAGAGATACCTACCAGGAAGTCACAATCTGATGACAGACCCAGAAACATATGATTAATAAGAGAACACAATAGTGATTGAGACATGGACACAGCGCTGTGGGGACTAGCACCTAGCAGACAATGGGGCTACATTCTGTGGGACAGACAAGTCCTTTAAGATTTTCACACCAAGAGTGTAACCGATTCCCACAGAGAGGAGTGTGTTTTCCTTCCGTGCAGGGATTTAGGCCATGGCTAAATGACCATCTGTCAGAGATGCTGTAGATGGCGATTCCTCCCAAGTGAGAGGTCGGATTAAGTGTCCTTTAAAGTCCCTTCCAACTCTAAAATTGCATAATTCCATGAGATCAGCAAAGGCTAAAACGGTAATAGGAAGCTTCAGGGAGGAAGGGAAACTTGAACTAAGCCCAAAATGATAGCTAAGATCTAAATAAACAGAAGACAGGACGTATGATATCTTGTTTTACTCCTTTTCACTAAATGTATGTGAGGTAGTCTGCAGAACAGCTTAACAGGGTTAATTGGAACAAACAGTAAGAATTCTATACCTAGTAGAACACTGGGAAATACAGTCAGAATTCTGTATTTTATTAGCATATAACAGGCAGCAGGCTTTTCTGAATCACATATTTAAGAAAACTATTTTCACAAAACATTAACAATACTATTTAAAACACTGAGAACCCAGGGCCAGACCCGTGGCCTAGTGGTTAAGTTTTGCAAACTCCGCTTCAGTGGCCTGGGTTCAGTTCCAGGGCATAGAACTATTACTTGTCAGCAGACATGCTGTGGGGGCAACCCAATACAAAATAGAGGAAGACTGGCACAGATGCTAGCTCAGTGCGAATCTTCCTCAGGAAAAAGAAAAAAAAGAAAGGAAAATTTAAATTAAAAAGAAAAATACTGAGAGCCCTACTGCATTAGACTCTCAATAATTACACAAATACACTTAGTGAAATAGAGAGCATGCCAAAAGATCTGGCATCAGTTTACATTGTTATTTGATAAGGAACTTAAATAGTCAGGCCCTGAAACTTACATAATTTGGCTACGTTTCTCATCAGCTTTAAATAAACGTGACACTGTGATTTTCCACTTAAAGCAATTCTTCCCTTTTCTGTCCCCCTTGCTGTCCTATCACCTGTGCTCACACTTCTTACTCAAGCCATCTTCACTTGACAATACCAAGGCAGCCACAGCAGCCTCAAACAGCGAGCCAAGAACACATTAAGAAGCCAAGAACTGAAATGTCGTTTAAAGGTTCCCCAATATTCACAGGAATACATGGTCTTTGGAAAACATGTCATAACCAGCAGTCAGTGAACTCATCAGAAAGTTAACTCTATGTTGATATTCCAGTACCCTCAATGTATTAAATCAAAGGCTAAGATGCTCACTGAGTGTTCTCAGCATATCAAAACTGTGTTATTGAAGCTGGAAAAAGTGCTGATCATTGGTGTTCGTACATAGGTGATGGAAATTTAGCGAAACATACAAAAGCAACTGTGCGCTGCGGAGGAACTGGAGGAAAGTGCTAGTAAGTTGTCAGCAGCAGAGCCAAGACAGCAACACAGGGCCGCTGCAACTGCTATACGCGTGGAAACTGGAGGCAACTCAATGCATTTGTGTTAAACAGAAATGCTACTTTCTAGTTTCATTATCAGAATCAGTTAGTCAGAAACTATTGGTTCGATTCCTAACTTACCCCTTTTTCTGAGAGGTTCAGAGTAAGCAAATGCAGGGTTCTGGTATGTGAAGACTTCCAGTCTACAGGCATTACATTTCCATAATTATCTGTCAGGGCATTCCAAATCCTTCAAAAGAAGAGAAGTACAATCAATGCAAGGGAACATTCTATACATCTTTTATTAAACAAATTTCCAGTACTAGAGGGAAAAAAGAAAGAACAAAAGAAAATCAAAGCAAAAAAATAAAACGCCCATTGTTTCTCAGAAAAACGTCAACAAAGTAGAGCCTCCCTAATAAGACTAAATGAAAATCATATAATCGGGCTGACAAGACGTCCTGAGGGAAGACGAAGTGAAATAGAAAACTCTCCCAAAGTCAACAGCTAACACTTCTACTGTACTACGTGCCAGGCACTGTTGTAAGCAATTTACATATCTTAACTTATTTAATCCTCAAAAAACAATGTTATGGAGAACCGTTATTATTCCCATTTTACAGATGAGCAAACTAAAGCACAGGGAGCTTAAGTAATGTTTCCAGAGCCACACAGCTAGTAAATGCCCCGTGCCTGACACTCATTTTTCTTCTACAACTTCCAAACATACGGACCATCTCAGGCAGTGAATAGTGTCTCTCTAACCGAAAGTTTGTTACTCTTTCAGGAGAAAGGATTCAGGCCCAATGTGAGACCAGAGTTTGCTATCTAATTTGTAATACAGTAGGCTAAGGACTAAAATAAAATGAAAAGGGAAAGAAAGGGAGTTCACAATAAAATGCACACAGGTTATATCCAATGCGGTTACCCCACCTTAGCACCAAACAGCATTTTGGGGAAGCAATAGGACACGACTAAAATTCAGGGAACACAGACCCTCATCTCCATTCTTCCTCAAACAATGAGTCTTTGGCCATGTCCTTTAACCTCTCTAGGGATTAGCTGCCATTCTATAAAATGAGAGGCTTGGACAAGAATAACAGACATTCCTTCCAGCTCTATTACTCTAAGCATTAATTCAAACGAGCTGTATTGGGGAGAGTCCCAAACCACACCAGATAAGGACAGCAAACTCCAATTCCATGACCAAAATTCGGGGTTTGGTACCAAGTAATAATCAGCATAAAAAAACATGGTATTATGTGGAAAAAAGAGTTCAGAAATAAAAAAGAGATGAAATTTAACTGGAGTAAGTAAAGTTAAACACTATACATATAAGCTACTTAGTGCCCAGAGATACATACGTAGATATCATAAAGGAAAAAACTCTAAAACTTATAACAGGTATCTAAGTAAATAAACTATTAAATAACTGGGTGAGTTTTTTTCCAAGAGTGTAAGCCACTAGTATACAAAAACAAGACTGCTAGGGGCACAAAAATAAGAATGCAAGCTTAAAAATAGAGAAGTAACACACTAGATTTAATGAATAGGGATTTGGTGCTAAAGAGAAGCAATGTGACAACTGCCAAAAACAGAAAATCCCAAAATGATGCTTGGCTTTGGAACGCACATCAGCCTCAATGAAAACGTGAACCCAAAAGCTCTAGACAACTGGCTCGTTTACCCAGCAAATCTCCCAAACGCATGGTTCAGTCCTATTCTCCTCTCTGCTGGAATCATAATCTCCCTGCTGCCAACGTGCTTGAATTGGAGGCAAAAGCTCGGGACTGCTAAAAGTGCTGGGTTTCTGGCCCACAGCTTCCTGGACGAAAGACTTTGCAACACTGAGCCACTGACGATACACCTAACCCTGGTCAGCAACTCCGACAGGATATTCTAGGACATGAAGACCGTCCAGAGTTTTGGGGTTTATTTTGTCTGCTTGTCTGTTCCTTCTTAAATGAGGCTGTGATAAAAGGACAAGTGGAGGGGAATACTTCACCTAGAAGAAGCGACTGTGGGTGAATTTGATCTTCCAAGAAAGTGAAGGACAATTAACAGTACTCTGTCTCCACCAAAGTCAGAACAATTGTAGGTGGAAGGACAGAGGGCTGCCTTAAGTGAGAGATTTCTAGAATTCTCCAGTCAAGACAGGAATTACCTTCATCCTTATCTTAATAAAGCATTATAACCAGTCATAAAAAACAACCGGCAAGCAGCTCTGTTCCAAGGAGGTCAAAGTCCCACTGACATTGAATGCTGCACCAGACCCTTCCAAAGAAAACCTTAGCAGAAAATACAATCCATATTTAACCAAAACTAAACCTGGGGCTCAGAGAAGTCAAACAAAGTACCCTAAGGCAAGACACTATCTCTGTAAGAGAATTCTCAGTTCTCTCTTGCAAAAGGAGCAGGGATAGACTCAAGCAATGGAGAGCAGATTTACAGGGGACAATGAGAGTGGTGACCAGCCCCAGGCCCTGAAAAGAGAGAAAGAGATTTATCATGCATTCTCAAATCAAGCAACATGTATTACCACCAACAAAGAATCTATTAAAAACCATTATCAAGAGTAACAAAATATTCTTTTTTAAGTTTTACATCAACCTAAGCTTTAAGCAAATGCTAAAAATAGACTACTTTCCAGACAGAAAAAAAAACAGGGAATCTTAACTATATGTGTACAAACCACTAATTTGTTATGAGAAGTGACTCGGTAAACCCAAATACACAATTTTAAAATCCAGAATAAGTCCTGAGTCCCAGTGATTCAGAGCATATAAGTCTACATATATAAACGATCTTCTCTTTGGGAACAGACTTTCAAAAGGGGCATCTTTTGCCATTGACTGCATGCATATCTGTGTGCATAAAAACCAACCATAAACTCTTCCCTCTATACCTGGGCAGCACACTGTACAGAGGCACCAATGAAAAGATACGGTCTCCAAGCTAGCTGGGCCCTCACCACTGCTCAGCCATTCCCAACTCCCTCTTCTCAAGCTTCCTACCTTATTCTGATAAATCTCCTGATTCGCAGAGGAAAAGAGACCATCAGGCTGGAAGCCCCCTCTCAATGCCCATGGATCCACTCAAGAACTCTTCCCTAATCTCTAATCTCTCCCATCCCTACCCATGTCCTTAGTGTTTACTCCATTAATTTCACCCTCAGCCTCTCCAGGGCTTCGTCTCCTGTTACACCACATGCTCAGCTTCCCTCACTCTCACCATTCCTTTTACCGTGTTTTGAGATAAAACGTGGTACATAATTACAACCCTTATTTAACCAAACTACAGTTGGGGTTCAGGGTGGTTAAATAAAGTGCCCCAAGGAACTCTGCCCCTCTCTCCCCCAAGCTCTTATCCATCCCTGTGCATCTCCTATGATTGTACTTAGACGACGCCGTAGAAGACAGTCAGGGAACTGGTTTCAGGACCACTGAGGATACCAAAATCAGCAGATGCTCAAGTCCCTCAGATAAAATGGTCTGATATTTGCATATAACCTACTCACATTCTCCTATATACTTTAAATCATCTCTAGATTACTTAAAATACCTAATACAATGTAAATGCTATGTAAATAGTTGTTACAGTGTATTGTTTAGGGAATCATGACAAGAAAAAAATGTCTGTACATGTTCAGTGCAGGCACAGTACCACCTTAGGCCTTCCCTTGATTTGAATCCCCGATACGGAACCCCCGAATATGGAGGGCCAACTGTAATTACGTGTTTAGGCATAACCAGAGCCTTTCCTTTTTGCCTCTGTGGGGGCCTGCACTCTACCTGGGCTCTCAGATGGACCCAACAAATTCTTGTGGCATAAATGCTGCTTCAACGTTGATACCTTTGCACGTGCTATATTCTCGAGCTAGAATGCTACAACTTGCTTCACCTGCCAAGGAAACTCCCACTCATCCATCAGCATCCAGTTTTCACATTTCTTTCTGTAAGAAGTCTTTCCTGACTCTCCCACACAGCCCTTTTAAATCTCCTATATTTTGCCCGTATATCCATTAGAGTCACCTGTCACACTCATACAAATATCTGTTTACAAATGTAGCTCCCATCCTAGGTTGCGCCCCACTTGAAAGGGACAATGTCCCATCATCTTGGTATTTCTGGTGCGAAGGAGCCTCTGGCACTTAACGGGCGCTTAATAAATGCCAGGTCAATGAATGAATGGCTACACACGTGCCCGAAGAGGTACTGTCTCTACCGGCTTTGTACAAGGAAATTCTCCTCTACACCAAACATGGCTTGGTTTCTAGGGAGCAGGAGTGAACTGCCGGAGGTTTAACGAGACGGGGGGAGGGGGCGGGGGGGGGCGGGGAGCCGGGATTTAAATCGCCCAGCGCGCGGAGGCCGAAAGCCCGGGGGAGCGGTGGAGCCGCGGAGAGGGGCGGGCTCCCCGCTCGCTGGAGGCGGAAGGAGGGCGCGGGGAGGAGCCAGCGGCCGGAGTCCCGCCGAGACTGCGGACCGAGGGCCGGCCGGCGGGGCGAGGGCAGGACGAGGGCAGGGGAGGCTCCCGCCCGCTCCCGGCCGGGCCCGCACTCACTCGTCCCCCTGCAGGAGGCTGCACTCGGTGATGGGCCGCACGGCCGCCCTTGGGGGCTCGGCGCCCGGCCCCGAGGGGCGGAAACACAGGCTCAGCTTCTCCTCCAAGCTGCAGGCCAGCGCCGGGAAGCCGTCGCCTCCCCCGCCCGGCCCTGCCCCGGCCTCGGGGCTCGCGTTACAGTTCTCCTGGTCCTGGAGGCTCCGGGCCGGCTCCTGGAACTCATAGAAATCCTGCCAGTCCCCGTCCGCCGCCATCGCCGCCGTGTGCTGTCGCGCGCCCCGCCCAGGCCGGCCCCGCCCCGCCGGAGGCCCCGCCCCCTGCGCCCCGCCCCGCCCAGGCCGGCCCCGCCCCTCCCTCGGGCGCCCGCGCGGACCCGTCCTGAGCCGCGCAGCGTGGGGGTCTTCTCTGTGCCCGAGTCTTCTCGGAGTTGACCGCGGGTCTCCCTAGAAAGCAAAACCTAAACTGCATTGAGTCACTTTGTCTATTTTCTGTCATTCAGAAATAGCTTCCTTCAGCTTCCCTCGCTGGGAACCTGGTCGAAATGTGGAGAAAATAAAGGGCTTCTTTAAACTGGCGACCTAGGGTCAGGTGATACCCGAAGTTATTTCCCCGGGATAACCTGCTCTTTTTGTAACTTTCCGACCAAAATAGCAACCAGAGTCGCTTGGAAACGCTTAAGTGGTACCGAAATTCATTCCGCAAATATTTTATGTCTCCCACGTGCAAAGCACGTGCTAGACCCTGTGAAACGTACAAAGATGAATACTTAAGTGAGTTACTATTTGCAAAGCACTTTTAGAACAGTGCCTGACAATAAGTAGTTTATGTGTGTGTTATATAATTAACGCATAGCTGCTCCCTAAGAGGGGTTTACAATGTAGTTGGAGTGATAAGACTCACGGGAAATCGTTTATACCATATAAAAAGTAAGCATGATTAGAGAACAGCTACTATTTAACGGGTATAGAGGTTCAGTTTTGTAAGTGAAAAGAGTTCTGGAGATGGATGGTGATGATGGTTGCACAATAAAATGAAGGTAGTTAATCCCACTGAGCAGTATACTTACAAATGGTTAAGATGGTAATTCTATGTTGTGTGATTTACCACAATAAAAAAAAATTGAAAAATAAATAAATAAGTATGTTTATAAGGCAGTGTGAGTGTGTAGAGGCAGTAAATACCTAGGAGTTGATAGGAGCCATATCTTTGGATTGTAATAATCAAATACTTGATGTAGGTGGTGGGACATAATTGGGTCCTGAATGATGAGTTCATATTTTGAAAAGTAAATCTGACGTTGGTAATAGAAAATAAGATTTTCCCCCATATGCTTTGTCGATCTCTTGACAGCATGGAAACCCATCTTCAGGAATATATGTTGTCAAAATTTCCTTATGTACTACTCCAATGCATGTTGTCTTGTATTTCAATGATTTGTCCCATATTAAACAAAATATTTCTATGATTGAGCCTAAGAAACTGAAGATAATTCCTTTAAAGGCAATATTGTTCTCTATTTCCTTTGAAACCATAAAGGGAGCCAATGTTGAGATCTACGTGGCCAAGAACTAGAACTAACTCCTCACCAGTTTATAGCTTTGGGGTTGATGAGAAAATATTCTAGCTCAGCTGATATTTACCTGTCTGAACATTACTCAAAAGCGATGCTCTGAAAGTGTTAAAGATCTGTTTTTCTCTAACTTTGACTACACATACAAAGTTATGAAAAACTATCGAGTTGACCTGGACTCTTCTATTTATGTACATAGCTAAGGCAAAATTGTGTTAGGTTTCTTTTCTGGACTTGTATCTCCATATATCTATGTGGGGTGTGTGTGTGTGTGAGTGGAAATGAAAATTACTTACTTTTAAGACCCAAATGTAACACTGTCAAATTTTTCATATGCTTGCAATAATTGTCTCAGAATTTTATTTTAGTCAAATTTTCTACATAGGATGCTTTTTACTTTTAATTAAATGCAAATCATCTGATACTATTACAGACACTTTGAATAGCCCTTTGCAAAAATAAGATTTGAATCACCTTTCTTTATCAATTTTTATTTGCACACCCGTGGTAACCCTGGCACTCAACACAATCTATAAAAGTGTTTCAAAGGAATGTGTCTGTGAGAAGACTGCCTATGCTACTTTATGGGCACAGAGCAATGAGATTAGAAAGAAACATAGTATGGAATAAAATGTTAATTTGGTGCTTTCGTAGATTTTAAATAATTATTATAAACATGAAAGAGAAACAGCAGAAAACAGTTTAAATGGTGGGATGTTCGTAACCAGGTAAAATTATAAAGTAGGAATATTTGTCTTCGTTGCCTTCCACGCCTCTCTTCCCATGTGGTATCTGGGAATTGCAAGCTCTCCCACAGTTTCCAGAACATCCAACAGGAGAACATGGTCCACCCAGGTTGTGGCCCATTTCCTTATGCCCACCCTTTCTTGAGCTCCTTTAGTATTTGATTCAGACTGCTTTAAGAGAATCCAGCTCTGAGTTACTGTTCTCTAAACCCCTTCACTTAATATTTCCTGACAGCAGCCTTAGCCCACTTTCCAGCTACTCTTCTTCCCATCGGCCAAATTTGAGCTTCCTAATTCTGCCACAGATCTGGCAAAACCATAGGCTTCTTGCCAGTCTCATCTGTTTAGATCTGTCTGTCAACACTCAAAGGTGTCTGATTAAGAAGTTCCCTCATATTTCTCACATAGCCTGATTCTAATTTGTCCACCCAAAACTATTTATTTTGGACTTTTATTTCCTACCAACTCCTAGAGGGGAGATGAAAACGAGCATGTGTAAACATATTTGCTCACTTCATATATTGAGAAAAGTTACCCTATAGAATTAATTTTCAGCACTTGATTCAAAATGAGAAAGAGGCCATAAATTTTTTTTCCTCCCCAAAGCCCCAATATGTAGTTGTATATTCTAGTTGTAGGTCATTCTAGTTCCTCTCTGTGGGATGCGGCCACACAATGGCTTCATGAGCGGTGCATAGGTCCACAGCCAGGTTCCGAACTAGCAAAACCCTGGGCCCCCAAGCAGAGCAGATGAACTTAACCACTTGGCCACAGGGCCAGTTCCCTAGAGTAACTTTTACAGAGAGCTTCGGAGCACTTGAATTTTGTTCATATTAAGCATTCAAGATGGAAAAAGTTACTTCTCTTCTTTGACAATGTATTTAAATTTTGAACATATATAGTCTATTGCGGTGGAAATTTAAGTAATAAAAAATGGAAAAGTAGATTCTTCAACATATGGATTACCTAAAGGTATAATTAATCAGAAAATATAAGAACTGCGAAAAAAAAAAGAAATAAACTACTGAATACAGAACCAGAAAATAATCTGTTGTTAAAGTATCCCATATAGTAAATGCTGCAGGCGTTAAAGCTACAATAAGACAAGGAGAAGGTACAGAAATGAAAAGTTCTTTGGAAAAACCAAGCTAATGATTAAATTTATTCAGTAACTAGAAAAAAAAAAAAGCTGATAAAACTAAAGTAAAAAGAATTTAGAAATCTTTATGTTGACCCAAGAATTTAAGGAAAGTTTGCTTGCTTGCCAAAAAAGGAAATGTAGGTTCTTTCCATTTTGTCTCCATTAAAAAAAATCCAGAAAACACTAACTCTTCATTTCCCCCTCCCCCTAGACCCTGGCAACCACCATTTTACTTTCTGTCTTTATGAATTTGACTAGGTACCTCATATTGACTCTAGGTACCTCATGTAAGTGAAATTATGCAGTATTTGTCCTTTTGTGTCTGGCTTCACTTAGCATAATGTCTTCAAAGTTCATCCACATTGTAGTATGTGTCAGAGGTTTATTCCTTTTCAGGGCTGAATAATATTCCATTGTATGTATATACCACATTTTGCTTATCCATTCATCTGTCGATGGACTTCTGACTGTTTCTACCTTTTAGCTATAAAGCCACACCTTTCTATTTATTTTTAAATTTTTAAATTTTTTCAATTTATTTTTTTATTTGGCTTTATTGAATCACTTATCAGAATTGCCCTGAATGGAGGTGCCCTGTTTATTTAACATCTGATCTCCTTAAAAGTGGATTCCAGTCAGACGTTTAAAATTAGTTCACACACTGTATGTAATAATTGTTGATGAATTAATTTGTTGATTCTCTCTCCTATTTTACCTTTTGATTGAATCTATATTTATACTATAATTATGTAAATTTATTTCACTAGAGAGTAATACAAGATTAATAAAGTCATTTGAAGACTGGAGTTTTCAGAGAGACGTTTGAGGAACTAATTCTGAGAAGCAGAAATCAGTGGAGATGGGAAATCTCTCCAGCTCACACAGGAAAAAAGATGAAGAAAAGAGAAAAAGGTGCCAACCTTCCAGAAAACAAAGTAAGTTCACTTCCCACTAAAATGAAGGGGAAAATGAGTAAAAAAATAAATAAAAATAAGAAAGCTCTACTGAGCACAATGACAGGCTGTGAGAAGGTGACCCTGTGGAAGACTGACAGGGCGCATTTGGGAGACCAGGTGGCATCAATAAAGGCCCCTCCAAATAGCTAGAAAGACTGGATGCAGACTCTTCAGAGGAGTTTGCAACTGAAGGGAAACCAGGAGGCTTGGACCACATTTGGATGAGATAAATGGATTCCATAAAAGATTATACTTTTTGTCTGATCCGGGTTACACATTTAATGTTCATCATATGCATTACATTCTATTTTCTGGTATTCTTACTAATATAAATTTCTCATAAGAGTATTTGTCCCAAATTTTCCAGTCTCAAGAGTGTTAGCACAAGGGGACCATATCAACATTCCATGAAAACAGCGTGAGGAGTCCCCTAAAATTTGCACTGATGGTGTTACAAGAATGATGTTAAAACTGAAGTGTCCTGCTCCTGTGTAATTTTATTTTCTTGGGCCTTTGTTTATCACTTGTTTTCTCCCTCCAAAGTTTTGTTTCCAGAGACGTTAAAGTTTCTTTGGCTATCTTTAGAGAAGGAAAATTTCGTTGTGAGTGGGGTTGGGATTGGGTGAGATTAAGGGTGGAGATGTCTGTTCTACATATAACATAAGTTTTAAAAGCTGTAGGTTTACCAGGATTTTTCTCTTTTTTTCTTAAGAGTAGTCGAAATGTGTTGACATCAAAAGAGCTGCACCAATTTTGCTGCATCAAAATAGCCTCATCAAAAGGTATGGATCTAAATAAATAAACCACTTAAGTCCGCTACGAGTTGGATCTACAAAAGCAAAATGGTGTGGCCTATTCAGACAATTGTTTACATA